TTTTTCAAACATTGGAACATTTCATCTGTTCTCTCATATTGATTCTCAACAGCTAATTATACAATTCACTGTGTCAAATATTATATTCAGTTACTGAGTACACTTATTAAATATTTTCTTTCTTTCTTTTTTATTTATTTTAAGCGTCTATTTGAAGACAAAAAAATGAAGTTTGACGAATCTTTTTTTCTAAATTTTCCCAATTTATTTTTATTTTCCTTTTTATTTAATTATTTATTTTATTTATTGTTTGTTGTTATTTTTGCCTTTAATTATTACTTTTTAAGCATGAAATCACTTGTAAAGTTTCCTACGTGCCAAAGAAGCCAATGACAACGAAATTCAAAGAAAGCGTAGTCATACCACACATCCTAACATATACCTGAGGTCCGTAGCACATTTTTCGAATGGGAGCCCCCTCAATGAAATGTAGTTTCTTTTTAATAAAATACTGCCTAAAATAACTATCATTTTTGTTGATGTACACGGTTGTGGCACATGGGTAACAGCGGTAATTCCCACTTTTCATCTTATAAGTACCTATTCACAAACCAGAAATTGTGGAAGTCCCTAACATCGGGATTATCTGTACATAACTATTTCTATTACTATTACTACCAGATGTGATACATTTTTCACACAAATGAACACGTTCAAAAACTTGATACAATTTTTTTTTTTTTTAATTTATCACGTTAATAACTTAAGTTTATTAAATACAGAATTAAAAAATTTTACTTTATTTTGTAATAATAAATGTCAGACCTTTCCTGTACTCATAGCCTCTCTCCTGGGGCCGGGGCCTGTGGAAATTAGTCCGTCTTGCCACCATAGTGTTACGCCAGCCACTGCACAGAGTGTTTTTTTTTTTTTTTTTTTTGGATTTAACAACACATTTTTCTGGCTAAAGCAGATCAATAGTTCCATACTCATAGGCTATATTAAAGATTTTATATCCCAGATGTGAAAAAAATAAAACAAAATCAGACATTGGATAAATTTTTACATTATGTCAAAATATTATAAATTAAAGTGAATAAAAACCAAATAAAGAATAAAAATATTAAATGCGATTTCTAAAACATAAACAATAAGCAAATGTACATAAGTATGAAGTTAATTCTGTTTTCTTCTCTGAAAAGCTATTAAAAATTGAAGTATGAATTCTGGTTTCTCCTTGATATTTTCCCGCCTTTCCCCATTCATCTGATCTAATAGAATTCTCAGAACTGCTCAGTGAACAACTTGTATTTGGAGAACCACAAGGGAGAGAAGGCTGTGTTTGAAAGTCGGGGGGTGAAGGTGAGTAGACTGACGGGAGAGACAGGAATTTGGGGGGAGGGAGCTGCCAGTGATCTTAATAGAAAGTAGAAGTAAATGAATGGTTTGCGACAGTACAGAAAAAAATGAGGGATGGGGGCAACGGGCGTACCGATTACGGAGTTCAAAGGTGGTTTTAAGAACCACAAAACCTCCACATCTTAAAGTAGTTAACACATTTGCACAGAATGTAAATGCTTAAATTAATGAACAGCAATAAAATAAAATAAAACAATTTAAAATTTAAAAAACATCTCTTGTTTGACGACAATTAAAGCAAGAGATCGGAAAAAACTACAGCTTACGGTACAATTAGGGGTCCATTGTCGATGCCCAAAAATAAAAGTTAAAGTTAAAATAAAAATTTTAAGCTAAAATAAAAATAAAAAAAGGGAATTAAGATTAAAAGAAATTTGAACAAAAGTACATGTAAAGTAACATACAAAATATTTAGAAATGTAGGTCGACTGGCTCGCCGGCAGATGGCGCCATCAGTCAAGTTGGTCACAGCTATCAGTTAAGTTGGTCACAATATTGAAAAAACCCAGCCAAAGTTAGGAGAAAAACACAATTTTTATTACATTAATTATTTTTTTAAAGTCCAACTAGTACTATAAGTACTTAAAATTAATGGTATGAACAGAGAAGTAATAATTTACTATTGTATTAAGAATTTAAAAAGTTAAAGATGAAAACTTTAAAGATTAAAGTTAACAATTAAATCAAAACAAATTATTGTTCAAAAGTTAAGAATTAAGCGATAAAAACATGATAGTTAAAAAAGATTTAAAATAATTCAGCCAGAAAGCTGTTAATTAAACTATTGAGTTAAGCTTTAAAAGTAAACAAACAATTAGGGAATTAAATATTATTAAAAAGAAAATGAACCATTAAAATGAAAACAAAATTATATTTAAAATTAATATTTAAAAGTCAGATAGCCATATTCTAAATTAAGGTGCACATCATAGCAAAATAATTAAAATTTAAATGCCAAAAAATTGCAGCTCAGATTCGCTTGAAATGATCATAGTGACTAGATAACAGCCACAGCGGTAGAATCAACCGTTGCAGAATAAATTCCACAACGTTTCTTCGATGCTGGGAAAGATTCCCCAGTGGGTATCATAGAAAGCTCTGGGTCTTTTGGAGCTGGCCACACCTGGATGGTATACAGGTATCTGTCTGATCGTTTCATTTTGGATTTGAGGGCATTTGGAGTGGTGAGATTTAGAAATTTTGAAAATGTAATCCGTAATAGGATCGAGATAGAGATCTCTGTGGAGTTGCTTCCTTTTAACAAACCACGGAGCATTAACTATCATAGCTATCTGTTTATTTTGAAACACTTGCAGCTTCTTGAGATTTGCGGTCGAGGAGGACGCCCAAATAGGACATCTTATAGGAGAATTGTTCGAAGGATTGATTTGTAGTGTATTGTTATTTAAACAAAATTTGTTATTTAAAACTTTGTGTATGATCGCTAGCCTGCTCTTACGAGAAATTAGGCTCTTTAGGTTAACCCTAGCAGCAGTTGCTTTAGTAACTACTTTGGTAAAGTGGGTATTAAAAGATAATTTTGAGTCAAAAACTAACCCCAGGTAATTGTACTCAATAACCCAGGGGACTGGTTGGCCGAAAAGGGTGACATTCAAAAGAGAACCAAGGTTCTTTTACCCAAGACATACCAAGGTTCTTTTGGTATGTCTTGGGTATGTCGTTCACAGAGATTAGAAACAATCTGGGACCGAGCAATGGAACCCCGCTCCTGATTGGATGATCGCTAAAATGATCCCTCCCCCTCGCACTCTGAAATTACGCAAAGTGAGATACGAGTGTATAATTTTAATAAACTGGGGCGAAAAATCAAGTCGAATGAGCTTGAGTAGTAAGCCATTATGCCAAATTTTGTCAAAGGCTTTGGCTACGTCCAGAAATAATATTCCCGTAGATTTACGATTGATAAAGCCATCATGGATCAGCTCATTAACACGTAAGAGCTGGTGAGAAGTACTGAGTTGAGTTCTGAACCCAAATTGCTCAGGAATGATAATATTATGATTCGTGCAGTGTTGATCCAGGCGTTTAAGAATCGAATATTCGAATATTTTACTCACTCCACTGAGTAGTGAGATTGGACGATAATTTTGAGAGTGCTTACTCTAAAAAAAAATAATAAATAAATAAAAAATAAAAAGTTAATCAGATAAGCGATCAATAAAATATAAGTATATGGTAAAGATTTTAACAAACTATTACTAATGCGATCAATCCCAGGAGACTTATTGGGTTTAATTTTCCTAATAAATTCAGACTTCAGCTGAGCTGACCTGACTAATATCATATACATGTGGTTGTTGTAGGAAGTCTGCTACTGTGATGTTAGTGGGTCTGAAGAGAATAGGATCTTCGACGTCGTGATTCGTTTCAAACTGAAGTTGTAGGCTATCAGCTAAAAGCTCGGCTTTCTCCCTCAGGCGCATAAGCAAAAGATCCATTGGAGCGTATTAGCGGTGGGATGTTGGCAAATGGTTTGCGCAACAAAGACGTTCGTCTAAATAGTGTTGTTTGAGGCGTCATGGCCTCTATGGAATGTTTCCATCGTTGCTGAGAGAAATTCTTGATCATCATCCTAACTATAGCTACTTGTCTATAATAATCGGCTCTAGCGTTGGGATCTCTTGATCTTTGCAGAACCGACGTAGGCTATTTCTATATTTGATTGCACTTTTAAAATGGGGGATGGAAACTACTGGGGATATGCGGCAAGAAGGGATCACATTATTTCAAATATGCCTGTTTTTCAGTGTCTTTACTATCCGAAAAGAAATCAAATGATTATCCCTTAAATTTCCTTTTTTTGTGTTAAGAATAAAATTTGTACCGAAGAATAAAAGATATGTCAGGAAAATGTACAATATTATTCATGACAAAAAGTTCTTAACTGAAAAAAAAAAAAAAAAAAAAAATTAAGTATTCAAATTTATTCTCACTCAAATTTTTTTTTTTTTTTTTTTTTTTTTTCTAAAATAATTATAGGTTGATGATGTTTTATGTTTTCTTCCAAATCGGAAAGATAGAAAAGATTTCTTAGCATAAGTTTTTTTAAATTTAAATGTTTATCCTCAAAGTCGATGAATTTCAAAACGAGAGAATACATCTGTACACGAAGCGTACCTCTGCTCTGAATCAAAGCTATATGAATATGATGGAATAAGCTGTAAGGCTTACGATTAAAATAAAAGGGGGAAAAAGAAAAAAACTTGATTAAAAAAACGCTTTCATACTATACAGTGCTTCAAAAGACAAAGCAGGAAATTTTGTTACTCTTTAAAAACATTGTAAAATTTATAATTTTGTACAGAAATGTATTTCTATTTATATCACAGTGATTTGAAAAAAAAAAAATCATTTAATGCAATTTTGAATATTTTTTAATTTGCTATTAAATTTACATTATGCAAAAATGTGCATTACAATACAGCAACCTACTGAGTAATTTACCCTTACAGATTCTATTAATGTGGAGGATTAATATAGACTAATTTGTAAAATGGCCATGAATTATTTTGTTTAAAACACTGACAAATATTTTATTTTAGACAGAATCCTTCAAACGCTATATTTCGTTAATTTCCATTGCTCTTTGCTGAATGCTGTAAGAAATGTTTTTGCCAACTGCCATATCTTCTTGAATATACCGGTTCTCGTTAGATCACCGAAGTCAAGCATCATTGGGCGCCATCAGTATTTGGGTGGGTGACCACCTTACACCGCGTGCCATTGGCATTCACAAATTTGGGACCTGAATGGCCGAGTGTCTAGCGCTCTGGCGCTTGGTGCCACAGGTTTCGGGTTCGAATTTGCCATGGATGTTTGTAAATATAAAAGAAATTGATCTCCCCGTGACTGTATCAAGCCAAAGTCAGACTTTACCTTCTCCATCACAACAGAAGCTTTCCCCTTCAAATGAAATGGGCTCGTGGGCTTGGCCAGCCAAGTGGGATAAGAAACAACAAACAGAAATTTTTTTACACAATTAATGTAAATTTTATTTGTAAATATAAAAAAAGAAATTGATTTAATAAGAAAAGGATTTTTTTAAATAAAACTAAACTAATACTTTTCCTCACTGTATATTTTTTAGTGAAAAAAATATATTTTTTAAATTTAAAATTTTTTTTTTTTTCCTGAGTTTGATAATTAGTGGTTGTATACTCAAAAAAAAGAGAATAGAGTGAGCATGGACACAAATATGATCCAGTGCCACAATGAACACTTATTTTGATAAATGAGGCATTCCCACTTTCTATCAGTTGAATAAAAATTCCTGTATTTATGAAGCAATAGCATAATATAAAAATAACACAGAATAAGCATAAAAAACACAATAGACATAGATCAAACAAAAGTGTTAAAAAATTGAGATTTAAAAAAAATAATTTATAAATTTAAATGTCAGTGCAAATTATGTATAGAAATAGCATCAAATGAAATTTAACAAAAAAATAAATAAATATATAAACCAAAATAAGGAAGAAAAATGTGCTAAACGGAAAAAGCTAATCTTAATAAATTCTTCAAAGAACTATTATTTAAAGCGGAAACACATAACAGCTCGGATATTTTACAGTCACACAGCTACGTCATCTAAGAAATTTTTTTTTTGTGCGGACGCATCTAACCGAAGCACACATCAACAGCCAAACTTAACAACATTTGGTTCGATTAGGTTAGTAAGCAATCGCCAAATGTAACAACATCGCCTCCGCCTATCGTTGCTGGCGTTGACTGTAGTAAAGATAGAGTTCGCCAGCCCCGACCTGTCCCAAAGGTGGAAATCTCCCCTCATAATTAATTAAACAAAAAGTTATGTTAGTTATATTTAGTTATAATCCTTGAAAACCAGCTCTAATCATATACTCATTAGTACTATATGTTGTATTTTGGGATTGTTAATTTGGCGGCAAAACGGTATTTGGGGGGGCACTTGTTATGGATATACCCCTTAATTAATTCAAAATTACATACTAAGTATTCCATATATTGCTGAAGTGCGAAAACAAAATAAGAAAAGAGCAGAAAGCGAGGTGATATGTGATTAACAAAAAGTAGGAGGAGTTAAGAAGTGGGCAGGACATGAGGCCTCCTATTAGTCGACACTGGAGATGTGAATGCGTGCGCATTTAGTCGTCGTCAAGCACGTGTGCTCGTCAGAAGTTGGAAACCGCAAAATTGGATCTTTTATCCGATTTTTTATAGGTCAGTATTTTAAAGTTTCTGCATGGTATTTATTTTTATATCAATTTGTGATAAATTATTAGTGGTTTAAAACGGCATTTTTTTTTTTTTTCAAATGGACAGGAAAAGTTCATTTCTCCCCGGAATATTTTTGCCAGTAAATTTATGGGGCCTGATGGCCGAGTGATTAGCGCTCGGTGCCACAGGCTTCGGGTTCTAGTCCCGGTGGTGCCATGGATATTTGTTGTGATTCGGAATCCTTTTTAAACTGTATATCCGCTCTAACATGGCTGTAGAGTGTTGGGCTTATAGCTGACAACCCTACCCTGTAAAAAGAGAAACATCTCATGTCTCGAAATCTGCCAGTAGGTAGATGGGCTTTGGCCCACCATAGCGCTGTTGTGACACTGAAGATATTATCTATAATATTTGGCTAACAAAACTGTGGAATAAAATCTTTCTCATATTTCCCCGTTTTAGAGATAATTTTTTTTTCTGGGAGTTTTTATTGTATTTCTTTTTGTATTCTTTGAATGAGATTATTACAAATAAAGAAGAAAGATTTTTTTAAAAATAATAATTGGTTAAATGCAACCTTTTGAGAAATTTATTTTAAGCTGTTGATAACATTTTTTTTTTTTTATGAGAGTGCAGAATAACAAAAATTTGTATGTGATAAATAATTTTTAAGAAATTCTTTTCGAAAACAAATGGGCAATCTCTGTAAAAAAATTAATAATAGTACTAATATTTCTTCTATTCTTGTAATGAATGAGATTATTACAAAAATAGAAGAAATCAGGAATGTCGGAATTCGTTTTCTGACAATTGATTGTGCATTTCTTTTTTCAGACGATATTTCTAATTTGGTTATCGAGATTTGTATTCTTAAATTTTGTTTTTTAGTTAAAATGAGTTAATGTTATTAGAAATAAAGTTTTTTTTTTTTTTCGTAATTAATATAATATGTAAATAAATAAAACTTATTGTCAGTATTCCAAGTTATTTATTTCCTTATGAAGCTTTTAAAAATTCTATGTTGCACTTTATCTTTTATTTATAAGATGCCAAAATATATTTTTAAACGAATAGTTTAGTTTCGAAATAAATTTTTGTATCAAAATTACTACAAAACACGGGATCTGAACGATCATTTCAGTAACATTAATATATCACAGATTAATATACATTCTCATTAATATTATATTTTTCAGCACTTAATAATCATGCTGCCTTTTATTAAATATATTTTTATATACATGTTAAATTTTTCTAAAAGTAAAAGAAATATACATTTGAGGAACAAAAAGTCTAATAAAAACATAATGCTAACTAGGTACTTGACTGAGAAACGGGATGTAGAGTAAAATAAACAAGCAACTGTTGTTCTGATAGTTTCGAAACTGTTAACTTTAAATTTCTCATCTCCACAAACCTTAGGGAAACAATTGTTTTAAGACGAATGGATCAATAGCTAATTTTTCGCTGGCAATCTGAATGTATTCTACCCCACTGCGAGTTGCAAAACGAATGAATTCTTCCTCATTTAGGCTTGGATTCGCAGTTGGGGAAGATAGAGAAGGAGTGAATCATAAGTGTTCGGAAAATAATTTTAAATGTATATTTTTCGGATAATTTCGAATAGGTTGTAGTTGAATGTCATTGAGTAAAAGTATGATTGGAGATGCTGTGGCGAATCTGAGAATTTCGAACAGTCTGTGACATGGAAGAGACTGAGGTGAGAAGAATTAGGGATTTCTAATGTTAGAGTGAGGAAAGAAAGTGGCTGCGTAGAACACTAGAAGAGTGTTGTCGGGGGAAATCTCGTAATAATAGTGAAACTTAAAAAAAAAAAGAAAAGGTAGCAAGCCTTGTGGGGAGAGTCGACGGTTTAGGAAGGAAGGAAAGAGAGCGAGAGGGGGCGAGTTGAAAGTAAAAAGCGCAATTGCAGGCGCGGCAGTAACCGGGCGACGTCAAAAGCTCCCGTTTTCGAGCGAACTGCTTCAGTAGACGGAGTGATAAGGACGAAATTTTTTTTCCATTTGTTGGCAAAGGCAAACTTTTCCCGTGGCAACAACGAGGGGACTCATCATGGTTGCATGAACTAGTATTGGGCAATTCGAATATTTTCAATGATGAGAACATTTCGAAAGATTCGTTTTCGAACGAATGACCATACTGTGGAGTCATCTGTCACTCTTTAGACATTCGTCATTTATTTATTTAAAAATACATTCGTGATATCTACCTGTTGTTTATTCTCTTAATGCCTGACGCATTGTTTTCATACGTTAAGCAACAATTTTTAGTTTTTGAAAATTCGATACTTCAAATTTTAGAATTCATTTTAAACAAAAGCAATAATGAAGTAATTGCATATTTATAATAAGCAATAATTTTTTTCCTTCCGGAAATAAAAATAAATTGCTGCAATGCATTTAAAACATGCATTTTAAAATACTGAATTATCTATTTTTTTCCCCTGACTCGATTCTAACTCGTATATCATTTCATAATTTTCTTACTGCTGTATGTTACTGCGATACATTTAAAATATATTCGTATTTCAAATAATATCATATTTAATGTAAATATGTCATACCAAATCTAAATTCAGCTATAAATTTCTGTTTTTTAATGAAATATAATATTTCATGAAATCTATTCAAAATCGATACTATTTTTTTCATGAAAATATTGAATATTAAAATTCGAAAAAAACTCGAAACTGCGTATTAAAGTGTAAACACTTGAAAATATTACAAAATGCGTTAACTAATACATCCATTAATGAAATGGCGAACAAATAATAAATTTTGAAATTGCCTATCTGGTCTAATAAATTATAATATATAATATATATAATCGATTATATATATATATATATATATCACTATAATCGATTACAATATATATATATATATATATACTAATATGGATTCCACCCATCACTAAAGGGAGCATGTGAATGTAAATGAAAATTGATACATTTTTCTATGTTAAAATTTTTGTTAATTTATTTTGGTAAACAAATATAAACTTGTACAATTTTAAATATTTCTTTTTTCAATTTGTTTAATAAAGGATTTTTAAAATATTTATTAAACAATATATTTCTGTAGTGTAATTTTTAGATTAATTTAAAAATTTTCTGTTTATTTTTCGAAAACTCTTTTATAATTTTTTCACAATTTTGTAATTTTTACAATATTGCTTTGCATGGCAATCAATGTATTTAGTTTTCCTTAATTATAAATAATTCGGTTTAATAAATACAATGTGTGTTAAATGAAATTCTTTTCAATTTATTAAATTGATAGTATTATAAATTAAATATATAATATATAATATATATATATAGGTTGTATATGTGCTGTAGGCGTCTGGTGGATGGAAACTCCAATATCTTTATTTATATTTATTTATTTACAATATTAACAATACTTTAATTCTCCTACAATATCAATTCAATTTTATACTTAAAAATCGTAAACACATCACATACTGTCCCTGACCGTCTTCCTCAAT